TATATTTTGTATTTCCTGTATATATTAGTTAACTTTTTGTAAATAGGTAATTTCACGCCCCTCATGGAAACCAGCCTTCCAACGGCTGTTGAGGCTAGCGTGGTCTAAATAAAGTTTTGTATGTATGTATGTTCCTCAGCTCCGGATACCCGACCAAAACAAAATGTCTTCCCGTTTTGTTCCCGTTACAAACGAGCAAATATTTTCGCTAAACGAAGCTGCGGCTCCCCCAAACACAAAGAAAGCCAACAGAAAGTTTTTTTTAACGGTTTTTTAAAACCATTTCTGCTAAATAAAATTGCTAACAGCTTGTGAATACTATTTTTATACACAACTGCTATACGGAAGATTTAACAGAAATTATTTATTTTTGCTGTTTTTGGTCATTTTTGTTTTGTCATGGCATGTACTTAATAAATCTCTTTCTCGACATACCCCAGTTTTCATACTACACCGGTGTCGTATGACTTTGAAACGTAATTCATATCTTCCGATCAGTGCATGTTATTCTTATGAAGACAAAAATATATACTACGGCCTAACGTTTGATTCAGCGTAACAAAATCTCCCAATTCGTAATAACATTATGGCGATTTACGGCCTTTGAAAGTTAAAGGAAATTGGCAACCAAAATTTTTATTGTTTATATCTATTGCGTATACTTACGGAATACCTAATTTTGTAATTTGGCCGGTTTGTCGGGTTTAGTTGTTGAGAAAATGTAATAAAAAGTTGTCCGCCATTTTGAAAATAAACATTTATGCACAGCATACATTATCTGACGTCATTAGCTGGGTAAACACAATTTCATGACTATAATTCCCAGGTGATCTCGTGTTCGTATTTTAGCCAATCAGCGCTCAGAAAGGGATGTCCGAATAGAAATCCATTTTGATGTATTCAGTCAATTATATCTTTCGTTATTCTTTACGAAACTAGTTGAAATTTTGTAAGTATGTTTGGTTATGAGAACTCTAGCTCTGATAAAAATATGGAATCGAAATAAAGTATATTACAGGAGATATTCAGTTGTTTTAATCATAAAATGGATTTCTATTTGACAACTAGTGCCAGTACTTTTCCGCGTATCAAGATCACCTGGTCTATAAAACAATACCGAGTATTACCACGCGTAGTACACGTTGAACCAAAACCAAAGGCAGAAAAGTTTTACCAAGTATGTACCTTGTTTCTAACACTATTTCTCATAGTATATATCCTAATTCGTGCTAAAAAAACGCAGAAATTCGAGTGTAACAGGGCAAACACAAATGCAATATTTTATGATCAATTACCTGTATTGTAAATTGCGCCATTCCTTGCTTTCCCAGTCGCTCGATATGTTTTTATCTGATAGTGTAGACTTCTCTTGTTTGATTGCGAAGAGTGTTGGCCACTATAGCGCTCAAAACGACATATTTTTAGCTAACATAACACGCAAGCAATTCTCTCTTGTAGTTTTGGTGCTACCCATCTAATGACGTCACAAAGTTCATTGACCTTCGAGAAAATTTTTCAAAAATATTTTCCAAGATGGCGGCGAAACACAAAGTTTGCATGCATTTTACTTATAGACTAAAATGTTCGAGAAGGAAATGATAATATTTTCATAGTTAGGTCGTCAAGTAGGATTGAAATAGCCAATAAAAATTTCCGTTGCCATTGTCCTTTAAGCGAGGTTGTAGCTATATTATCAAAGTACGCAATTGTCTGAACAAAAATATAGGCCAGCCGTATCTAGATTTTTTGCCGAACATAACTTCGGCCCCTTAAATTCGAACGTATCTTCTCTGTAATAGTCTTATTCAAATCGATATCAAAACACTATGTAGAGTGTTATTTTGGAGTTTGTATCTAGTTTGCATCTTTTATTGCCGTATTTCCATTTCTGGTCTGACTTTGAAATAATCCCAACCAGAAATGCAATTTCAAAATGTCAAAACAGCGTTTGTATCGTATGACTCTGGAAATGCCAGAAATCGATTCTACAGGTCAAATCGTCAAACTTCATCTATACTCGTGATTTTGACGTCATCCCGGCTACAGGGGCTTCTTATTGGCTCAGTATAGCGCGTGCCACGCGTGTGCGAGTAAAACCGATATTTTGAAAAATTCAAAATAAAATATTCCTACTCGCCGTATTCAAACGAAACTTTCTACACGAAAGCGCTTGGATACAAAGAGTATTTTGCTCATTGTAAATGTATATAAGTTTCGAGTAAATGTATATAAAATATATGAGTGTTTCGGTTTGTGTAATATTTGACGGCATTTGTCCCCCCGCTCGAAACGTTATTCTGTGAGGACTTGAAAGGTGATTTTCGAAAAATTGAATCGCAATGTAATGCGATGCCGGTTGCCGACCTCAGTGTCGGTGAACAGCGCAAGGATATTCACCGAGACACAAAATAACTCCCACTTTGGTATTATTGTTAAACGTATCATGTATAACCAGAAAATAAGGTACGCTAAACGCATTTCAAGTTCTTTCATTCCAAATTCACGACATACAAAAAATGCTTCGTAACTATTTTCACAAAATTGAATTTCACAAAATTGTTATCATATATGTTTTGTAGGCCAGCCAGGAGGTTCGTCAGGATTGAACTGTACAATTGTTCATGGCATTCGCAGAGTGACCTGTCCGGAAAAGAAGGCTGCATTCGGTTGTGCAACACCTTGTGGTCGTCTCAAAAAAAAGAGAAACGAGCGTACTTGTAGGACTAGATGCGATGACAAGAAAATCAAGGCATTATGCTGCGGGAGTATCAGTTTAACTTGAAGAAATGGGTAAAAGGACAGGCCACGGTAGAATAGACAATCAATAGATAGACGTGAACTTTAAGGCCTAAAGGTTGATATTATAATAGAATATGCCTTTGTAACAACGTTCAGTTAATTAAATTTGCATTTGCAAAAAACTGTCTTCAACTTTCTTGTTATCTATTACGACCTGATTCACGTGTCACCATTTTTAAAAGCAAAGAAAAACAAATAATTATTTGTCCGGTATAATATAATTACTCGTCGTTCTATCTCTATATAATCGCCAAGTTCCCTCCACTTATTCGTGCGAGTACTTAAATTGAAAAGGCATGCCTTATAAATGCTAACTTAATGCTGATTTCCACTATCGCGTTTTTTGTACGCACATACACGCACGTAAAACTTTGAATCGTTCTATTTTTTAAATATTTTACAAATAATTTAATCAATGCATACTTAAACTTGCGGACAGTGGCGGCGGAAAAATGGGGCTAGGGGGCTTTAGTCCCCCCCCCCCGCCCAGAAGTAAAAGTGGCGGGACTTAGCCCCACCCCCACAATACATAAAGTATGCCAGAATGCGAGACCGTTCATGCTAACTACGAAGTCGTCAAATTACTGCTCGCCGGCTAAAATGCAAAAGAAAATATCCCACTCTGTGATCAAATGAATGTAAATCGATTTTCTTTCACCCTGAGTTTATATCTTTGATTATGCAGTAAATTACTTCAAAGTCAGAGTATTGGCCTTTGTGGTTATTTGGGAAATGGGACAAATAAAAGTTAAGTCAAGAAGTTTGAGACCTTCCTAATGGGTGCATGTTCCAGCCACAGACAAAATTTTGATCAAAGCAAGAAAAACGAAATACAGTACCACAGCTTGAAAGAGGGTCTTGGAATGAGTAAAACTGCAAAGATTGGTTGCTGAATGTTGTAATTTCATTTCAGAACCATCCTCAGAGATACGAAAAACTAGTTTCATATTAATCTGACACTGCAATCGAGCAACGAAAAATTGGTTGGCTCGAGCGGGATTTGAACTCGCATCTTCGGGTATCTAGACCGCCGCTCTACCTATTGAGCTATCACGATCCGCTCTACAGTTTCAGATTCCAGTTTCAGATTCAAATTCAGATTCAGATTCAGATTTGAATCTGAAACGGGGTCAATTGTCGCGTATAAAATGTGGAATTGCTCTGTCTCTTTTCACGGAATAAACGTAATTCGTCAAGGACATCCATCTTCAGACAATTGTGCATTTGACAAAACTATATTTTAGTTTTTAGCTCATAATGTGAAGCCAGGAAAAATCGCAGAATCTACACTACCAACGCGTGATTTCTTACTGCGCCATGTTTGTCTTAAGCTGTCGGCAAAATTATTTTTCGCTGTGTATCGCAAAATACGCGTGTATTTCCCTAATTTCTGAAAGACATTCATTAGTACACCATAGTAAATGGTATAAAGAAAACTAGGTCTTAAAAACGTTACTTGTTTTGTCAGGAAAAATCGCAAATCATAGATCATGAGATACGGCTTTTGTAACCTGAAGCGAACGTCAACAACGCAGCTGAGAGAATAAACACTTCTCACGCGTCACACGCTCACTTTGGAATATTCGTCTGGGAAAGACATTCATCTACAACTATCACAAAATGATACAACGCAGTTGTTATTTTCAAACAGCTTGTTGTTTTGGCAGGAAAAATCGCAATACACAACCGCTGTTAGAATCGAAAATCCGGGCGGGAATTAAGACTTTCATCACAGTTCATTTAGTCTCATATAAGCGAAGTTTCGTTTGCCTTCGCAGTGAATCTTTACCAGTTGACTGTAAATTATGGTGAAGTTTAAAATACTCTAAAATTAGGCAAATATTTCTCGCGGAAAAAGGGCTTGCCATCGTTCTTTGGAAGAACGACAGGATATCAACCCCCCGGATTTTAATGTTTCAGATTCAAATTTCATAATAACAATCTCAGTGCGTATAATATAACAATCTTTTGCGATTTTTCCTGCGCATATGCGTTGCCGAATCGCAATGAAGCGCACAATAATGTAGATGAATGTCCTTCTTTGCGGTATCTGCTGGTTTAATACAGTTGCTGTGGTTGAAGGATTTACGCAGACTAACGCTGTTTCAGCTCGAATCTGAAACTGAATCTGAATCTACATGAAATTTGAATCTTAACGAAAAATATCCGGGGGCGCCTGATATCCTATCGTCCTTCCATAACACGATTCCAAACCCTTTTCTGCGAAAAGTACAAGGCCGTTTTTGAGCATATCAACATTTAGTCATAACTCCTAGTCAGCTAGTGAACATTTGTTGTGAAGACAAATTATACTTGGTCAGTATATCAGTCTAAACGAACTTTTGGGAAAGTATTAATGCCCGCCCGGATTTTTGAATTCAACACATGTTGTGTTTTGCGATTTTTCCTGTCCAAACAACAAGTTATCCGACGATAAAAAATGCGTTATAGGATTCTATGATAGTCGTTGATGAATGTCTTTGGCAAAAGAATCTTGCAAACTTAAAGCATGCCGCGTGAGAAACATTTCTTCGGTTCACTTTGCAGCTGACCTTTGCTTCAGGTTGTAAAATCTACAACTCGTCTGTTGTGTTTTGCGATTTTTCCTGAGCTACAGAAAAGTGTTTCAAACTCTTACACTTCTTCATATCATCGGATTTAATGCATTAAAAGATGTCCTCCTTGAAAAGGTTTGATAACGCGCCTTTATCTATTAAAAAATGGGGACTAATACAACAACAACTGTTTGACAAGCCATGTCTGCATGTACAAGAGCAGTCTAAAATAACAATCTTTTGCGATTTTTCCTGCGGACATGGTCTGCTGAATCGCAATAAAAACCGCACAGAATGAAGCGAACAGTCATGTAGATGAATGTCTTTCTTTGCAGTATATCTGCCGGTTTATACAGTTGCTGTGGTTGAAGGATTTACGCAGACTAACGCTGTTTCAGCTCGAATCTGAAACTGAATCTGAATCTACATGAAATTCGAATCTTAACGAAAAATATCCGGGGGCGGCTGACATCCTATCGTTTTTTCATAAAACGATTCCAAGACCTTTTTTGCAAAAAGTATTGGGCTGCTTTTAACATAATTCAAACTTCAGCATGATTTACAGTCAACTGGCTAAGATTCAGTGTGAAGACAAACAAAACATCGCTTATATCAGACTAAACGAACTGTGATGATAATCTTAATGCCCGCCCGGATTTTCGATTCCAACACTAGTTGTGCTTTGCGATTTTTCCTGCCGAAACAACAAGCTGTTTGAAAATAACAAGTGCGTTGTATCATTTTGTGATAGTTGTAGATGAATGTCTTTCGCAGACGAATATTCCAAACTAAGCGTGCGACGCGTGAGAAATGGTTATTCTCTCAGCTGCGTTGTTGACGTTCGCTTCAGGTTACAAAAGCCGTATCTCATGATGGGTAGGGATAAAACGCGGATACGGACGGACGGACGGATGGCGGACGGACGGACGGATGGCGGACGGACGGACGGACGGACGGACGGACGGACGGACGGACGGATGGCGGACGGACGGACGGACGGGGGGGACAAGCGGATGGACGGGGGGGATCAAATCCGCGTTTTTTAGGAAATGTAATTAAGACTATTATTAATCGTAATAAATTGTCGAAAAAATGATAAAATATTAAATTGTGGAAATGCGGGGTTTTTCGAACCTTTGTAACGCTGAAAATTCTAATTAAATACGTTAGACATCTGCTTAAACTTGGGTCCAATTTCATTTGCGCAAATATCGCGTAATCGAGTGAGTATTTGAACGCGATAAAACAACTCGTACGAAGAAATATTAATACATAAGGTTTACTAACGTACTTGCCAATGTCGTATTTTAACAAAAGTCCAACTGTTTCGTCGGATGTAATCGAGGCGCATTCTTTCTCAATCTGATTAAATTATAAATGTAAACAATGCTAAAGTTGAGAGAAATACCCATTACTGTGACCGCACGATTCCGATATAAATTAACCCGCTTTGCCGATGTCAAATGTCCAATTAATTAATATATATGATTTGGTATTAAACTCACAAACAATTAGTTTCCAACTATATACGAAACCAGTAGTTTACAGGCTGTTTA